CTCATGGGTCCCTGTACGGCCTCCCATTGCTGCTGTCTCCATCGCCACACTCTGCCATGTGCCACTTTCAGGTCTCCTCACACTGCTGGTGTGTTCCATTTTTTGTCATAGGGTGCTGGCAGATTACGGGCCTCCCATAGCTGCTGCCAGGCCCCTAATCTGCCATGGGCCCCTGTACCGCCTCCTCATGCTGCTGCCAGGTCCAGAGTCATGGGTCCCTGTACATGTCCCATTGCTTGTCAGGTCTCCTCACACTTTCAGGTGGTGTGTTCCATTTTTTGTCATAGGGTGCTGGCAGATTACGGGCCTCCCATAGCTGCTGCCAGGCCCCTAATCTGCCATGGGCCCCTATACCGCCTCCTCATGCTGCTGCCAGGTCCAGAGTCTCTCATGGGTCCCTGTACGGCCTCCCATTGCTGCTGTCTCCATCGCCACACTCTGCCATGTGCCACTTTCAGGTCTCCTCACACTGCTGGTGTGTTCCATTTTTTGTCATAGGGTGCTGGCAGATTACGGGCCTCCCATAGCTGCTGCCAGGCCCCTAATCTGCCATGGGCCCCTATACCGCCTCCTCATGCTGCTGCCAGGTCCAGAGTCTCTCATGGGTCCCTGTACGGCCTCCCATTGCTGCTGTCTCCATCGCCACACTCTGCCATGTGCCACTTTCAGGTCTCCTCACACTGCTGGTGTGTTCCATTTTTTGTCATAGGGTGCTGGCAGATTACGGGCCTCCCATTGCTGCTGCCAGGCCCGTAATCTGCCATGGGCCCCCGTACCGACTCCTCATGCTGTGACGTTGCAACAAGGTGGAATTCAACCCTACATATGTTAGACCGCCTTTACGAACAGCGAAAGGCCATCACAGATTTCCTGATGTTAAAAGCGGATAAAGGTACTCCCTGTGTGTAACTTAGATGTCAGCCATTGGCAGCTCATGCGTGACACCTGCGCTTGCTCAGGCCCTTTGAGGAGGGCCACGCTATTCGTGAGTCGGCAGGACTATGGGATGAACGACGTCATTCCTCTGTTGCACGTCCTGGAACAAATGCTGTTAACAATGGCTGGTCAGGGTGCGGTAGACGTGGCGCACAGATCTCAACGCCACATGACCCCTGTGGGGGCAGGACAGGAAGAAGAGGAGGAGGTAGAGGAGGACATTGGGTGCTCAGGAATTATTGAGTGAAATGGGTGGTTTTTCCACTCAGCGGGGGTCCAGGAGTGGAGGAGCAGGAGCATCTGGTAGAGGAGGAGGAGGAGGAGACAGAGGACCCAGACGCACCGTGGCAGTATGCTGTGGAGATGGAGGCAGGGAGTCCCTCGCATTCCTTGGCACACAAATGGCCCATAGCATGCTCGCTTGCTTGCGTAGCGACAGCCGAATAATAACCATCAGACAGAGGGATGACTTTTGGCTGTCCACCTTGTTGGACCCTCGCTACCGTTCAAAAATGGTGGCCTTTTTCACACCTGCTGAGAGGGAGGCCAAAATAACGTACTATAAAAACCACCTATGTAGTCAGCTGGTCTCTGCCTTTCTGCGCCAACGTCCATCCTCAGACACTGTGGGCCCTGTGCGCTCGCGTTCCGCTGCCATGGCAGCAGGGGAGGGGTGGGGTGGTAGGGAGCAGTGGCAGCTCCACCAGCAGCAGCTGCCTCAGTCTGCAGTCGATGATGAGTAGCTTTCTTCACCAGCGCAGTGAGGAAAAACTACTAACCAGCCGCAGCAGCAGCAGCAGCATCAGGTGGACCTGGAGCAGGACCTCAAACAACAGGCTTAGGCCTACTTGGACAGCACCCTGCCAACCGAGGTAGACAATCCCCTTGACTACTGGGCAACGAAACTTGACCTTTGGCCCCAACTAGCTGAATTGCCCTTGAAAGGCTGTCATGCCCGGCCAGTAGCGTGGCATCGGAGCGCGTGTTTAGTGCGGCAGGAGGTATTGTAACTCCGCGGAGGACACGACTGTCCACCCAAAGTGTGGAGAAACTCACGTTTGTGAAAATGAATCAGGCGTGGATTAGTCTGGATTTCAAACCACCAGTTCCTGACACAACTGACTAAATCCGCCATGAATCATGCCCCAAACATGTGCCACTTTCAGTCTCCTCACACTGCTGGTGTGTTCCATTTTTTGTCATAGGGTGCTGGCAGATTACGGGCCTCCCATTGCTGCTGCCAGGCCCCTAATCTGCCATGGGCCCCTGTACCGCCTCCTCATGCTGCTGCCAGGTCCAGAGTCTCTCATGGGTCCCTGTACGGCCTCCCATTGCTGCTGTCTCCATCGCCACACTCTGCCATGTGCCACTTTCAGGTCTCCTCACACACTGCTGGTGTGTTCCATTTTTTGTCATAGGGTGCTGGCAGATTACGGGCCTCCCATAGCTGCTGCCAGGGGCCCCTAATCTGCCATGGGCCCCTGTACCGCCTCCTCATGCTGCTGCCAGGTCCACAGTGTCTCATGCCATGTGCCACTTTCAGGTCTCCTCACACTGCTGTTGTGTTCCATTTTTTGTCATAGGGTGCTGGCAGATTACGGGCCTCCCATTGCTGCTGCCAGGCCCGTAATCTGCCATGGGCCCCTGTACCGCCTCCTCATGCTGCTGCCAGGTCCAGAGTGTGTCATGGGTCCCTGTACGGCCTCCCATTGCTGCTGTCTCCATCGCCACACTCTGCCATGTGCCACTTTCAGGTCTCCTCACACACTGCTGGTGTGTTCCATTTTTTGTCATAGGGTGCTGGCAGATTACGGGCCTCCCATAGCTGCTGCCAGGCCCCTAATCTGCCATGGGCCCCTGTACCGCCTCCTCATGCTGCTGCCAGGTCCACAGTGTCTCATGCCATGTGCCACTTTCAGGTCTCCTCACACACTGCTGGTGTGTTCCATTTTTTGTCATAGGGTGCTGGCAGATTACGGGCCTCCCATAGCTGCTGCCAGGCCCCTAATCTGCCATGGGCCCCTGTACCGCCTCCTCATGCTGCTGCCAGGTCCACATGTGTCCCTCATGCCATGTGCCACTTTCAGGTCTCCTCACACACTGCTGGTGTGTTCCATTTTTTGTCATAGGGTGCTGGCAGATTACGGGCCTCCCATTGCTGCTGCCAGGCCCGTAATCTGCCATGGGCCCTGTACCGCCTCTTCATGCTGCTGCCAGGTCCAGAGTGTGTCATGGGTCCCTGTACGGCCTCCCATTGCTGCTGCCAGGAGGCAGCAGGGTCGCAGCAGTGTCAGTGGAGGCAAACGGCCACGGAGTAGAGCACCAGCTCCACTGCAGCCTACCACCACGGCCAGTAGTGGTGCCGGTGTGCACGGAGGAAGTAGCAGTCAGCCAGTGAGGAGTAGCGGGGGCAAAGTTTCCTACTCGGCGGTGTGGCAATTTTTCGTCAAGCCGCCCGAGGAAGTAAACGTAGCCGTATGTATGTCGACTATGTGGCCAGAAAGTCAAGCGTGGCCAGGGGGCCCATGTTGGGACTACAGCGTTGCGTCAGCATATGCAGCGTCGCCATTTGGTGGCCTGGGAAAACCGTGATAAAGATACGGCGGTTCTTCCTGCCCCAGCCCAGGGTTCCATTTTGTCATAGGGTGCTGGCAGATTACGGGCCTCCCATTGCTGCTGCCAGGCCTTAATCTGCCATGGGCCCCTGTACCGCCTCCTCATGCTGCTGCCAGGTCCACAGTGTCTCATGGGTCCCTGAACCGCCTCCCATTGCTGCTGTCTCCATCGCCACACTCTGCCATGTGCCACTTTCAGGTCTCCTCACACTGCTGGTGTGTTCCATTTTTTGTCATAGGGTGCTGGCAGATTACGGGCCTCCCATTGCTGCTGCCAGGCCCGTAATCTGCCATGGGCCCCAGTACCGCCTCCTCATGCTGCTGTCAGGTCCACAGTCTCTCATGGGTCCCTGTAGGGCCTCCCATTGCTGCTGTCTCCATCGCCACACTCTGCCATGTGCCACTTTCAGGTCTCCTCACACTGCTGGTGTGTTCCATTTTTTGTCATAGGGTGCTGGCAGATTACGGGCCTCCCATAGCTGCTGCCAGGCCCCTAATCTGCCATGGGCCCCTGTACCGCCTCCTCATGCTGCTGCCAGGTCCAGAGTCTCTCATGGGTCCCTGTACGGCCTCCCATTGCTGCTGTCTCCATCGCCACACTCTGCCATGTGCCACTTTCAGGTCTCCTCACACACTGCTGGTGTGTTCCATTTTTTGTCATAGGGTGCTGGCAGATTACGGGCCTCCCATTGCTGCTGCCAGGCCCCTAATCTGCCATGGGCCCCAGTACCGCCTCCTCATGCTGCTGCCAGGTCCACAGTCTCTCATGGGTCCCTGTACGGCCTCCCATTGCTGCTGTCTCCATCGCCACACTCTGCCATGTGCCACTTTCAGGTCTCCTCACACTGCTGGTGTGTTCCATTTTTTGTCATAGGGTGCTGGCAGATTACGGGCCTCCCATAGCTGCTGCCAGGCCCCTAATCTGCCATGGGCCCCTGTACCGCCTCCTCATGCTGCTGCCAGGTCCACATGGGTGTACGGCTCCCATGCCATGTGCCACTTTCAGGTCTCCTCACACACTGCTGGTGTGTTCCATTTTTTGTCATAGGGTGCTGGCAGATTACGGGCCTCCCATTGCTGCTGCCAGGCCCGTAATCTGCCATGGGCCCCCGTACCGACTCCTCATGCTGCTGCCAGGCCCGTAATCTGTCATGGGCCCCTGTTGTCGCTTGTTGGCATATTCCGCTCGTTCAGATGCTCCTTCTCCTGCTACTCCTCTTCACGGATTCCGTCAGCAGTCTTTCTTGGAATCCGTTTCCAAGAGACAACAGTTTGCGAGCACGCACCCGACGGTGCAGAAGCTGAACGTCCTCCTGTCCAAGTTGCTGCTGCCAGGCTCGTAATCTGTCATGCGCCCCTGTACCGCCTCCTCATGCTGCTGCCAGGTCCAGAGTGTGTCATGGGCCCCCTTACCGACTCCTCATGCTGCTGCCAGGCCCGTAATCTGTCATGGGCCCCTGTACCGCCTCCTCATGCTGCTGCCAGGTCCAGAGTGTGTCATGGGTCCCTGTACGGCCTCCCATTGCTGCTGCCAGGCCCGTAATCTGCCATGGGCCCCCATACCAACTCCTCATGCTGCTGCCAGGCCCGTAATCTGTCATGGGCCCCTGTACCGCCTCCTCATGCTGCTGCCAGGTCCAGAGTGTGTCATGGGTCCCTGTACGGCCTCCCATTGCTGCTGTCTCCATCGCCACACTCTGCCATGTGCCACTTTCAGGTCTCCTCACACTGCTGGTGGTTTCCTTTTTTGTCATAGGGTGCTGTATGGCCTCCCATTGCTGCTGCCTCCACCGCCACACTGTGGCTCCACACTCTGGTTTTGGCCCCGTGACTGCCCAAATGAGTGAAGTGTGCGGTGATTCTAAGATCGACGGCACTCATCTGCATGTCATACTGACTGTCAGTATTATTTCTCTTCCCCAGCAGACTCCAAGGGCATTTAAATTAAAGGTACAGTGTTCTGCACTAATATAAAGGCTCTCTGAAGCCTAGAAACACCCTTTTATAAGTTAAATTCGCAGCGAATATATTCGACTCGAATCAAAATTTTTTCACGAATTCGCCGAATCAGTCGATTTGAATTTTTGAATACTTCGCTCATCTCTAACCTATACTATGCAATAGATCTAGACAAATAGCTTGCATATACTGTATAACATATTGGGTCCCAGAGTAGGGGAGTATAAGCCCAAGTAAATTTCATTTAACACAGCTAATTACATTTTGTGTGCATACAAATATACAGTCATGGCCAAAAATATTGGCACCCTTGCATTTCTGTCAGATAATGCACCACTTTGCCCAGAAAATTGTTGCATTTACAAATGTTTAGGCATTCCCATGTTTTTATTTTGTTTGTATTGGTATGACACAAAAAAGTGGAAAAACAAAAAGCCAAATCTGACACATTCCACGCAAAACCTCAAAAACGGACTGGACAAAATTTTTGCCACCGTCTCAAAATTGTAAGAATCTATTGCATTCCAAACTTATGATGCTCCTGTAATTTGTAATTAAACTCACCTGTATCAATTAACGGATCTTAATGTCCCTGTGTTCACTGTGTGCAACATTGTCAAGAAGATTACAGCCCATGGCACTGTAGCTAATCTCCCTGGATGTGGACGAAAGAGAAAAACTTGATCAAAGATTGCAATGAAGGATTGTTTGAATGGTGAATAAAGAACCTCAATCAACTTCCAGACACATTCAAACTGACCATCAGGCACAGGGTACAACTGTGTCAGCGCGCACTATACGTCACCATCTGAATGAAAAGGGACGCTATGGTAGGAGACCCAGAAGGACCCCTCTGCTCATACAGAAACATAAAAAAGCCAGATTGGTGTTTGCAATAACCTACCTGAGGAATCCAAAATCCTTTTGGGAGAATGTGCTGTGGACAGACGAAACAAAATTACAGCTTTTGGTAAAACCAATCATTCTACTGTTTTCAGAAAAGGAAATGAAGCCTTTAAAGAAAGGAAAACAATCTCTACAGTCAAATATGGTAGAGGTTCACTGATGTTTTTTGGGTTGCTTTGCTGCTGAAGACTACCAAATAAATCTGAGGTGCAATGTAGGGCTCACTGTCAGAAAGTTGGGTCTCTGTCTGGTCATGGGTCTCACAGCAGGACAATGACCCAAAGCAAATGTTAAAAAGCACCCAGAATAGTTTAACCACTTCCATACAGGGCACCTTTACCCCCTTCCTGCCCAGGCCAATTTTCAGCTTTTAGTGCTGTCGCACTTTGAATGACACTTTGCGCGATCATGCAACATTGTACCCATATGACATTTTTTTTCCTACAAATAGTGCTTTCATGTGGTGGTAATTAATGGGTCTTTTATTTTTTTCATAATAAACTAAAAAAGACCGAAAATTTAGAAAAATAAGTTTTTCTTTGTTTCTATTATAAAATTTTGCAAATAAGTAAATTTAGGCAAAAATGTGTACTGCTACATAACTTTGTTAAAAAAAAAAAAACAAATCAGTGTATATTATTTAGTCTGTGTGAAAGTTATGGAGTCTACAAGCTATGGCACCAATCATTGCAAATTGATCACACCTGAAGCACTGATGGCCTATTTCATTTCTTGAGGCCCTAACATGCTAGGAAAGAACAAATAGCCCCCAAAAGACCCCTTTTTGGAAAATAGACAGTCCAAAGTATTTAGTAAAAGACATGATGAGTTTTTTGAAGTTGTAATTTTTTCCCACAATTCTTTCGAAAAAAAATTTTTCACACATAATTGTCAAAATAACAAGTTATTTCTCACACCTGGCATAAACATACTTGCAATTGCACCCCAAAATACATTCTGCTACACCTCCTGAATTTTATGATACCACAGGTGTGAGACATTTCCACAACCTTGCCACATACAGAGACCCAAAGTCCAAGTAGCACCTTCACACCATGTAGGAGCAAGAAGGGGCATAAATTACACATCTAATTTCCTGACTACCTATCACAGTTTTGAAGGCCCTGGAGCACCAGGGCGATAGAAACACCCACAAAATGACCCCATTTTGGAAACATCCCAAGGTATATTTTATCAGGCATAATGAGTCTTTTGAACATATTATTTCTTTTCCAAAAGTTTTTAGAAAATGTGGAAAGAAAAATAAAAACTTTTTTTTTTTACACAAAGTTGTCAATTTATAAGATATTTCTAACACACAGCATGTACATACCAAGAATTATGCCCCAAAATACATTCTGCTAATCCTTCTGAGTATGGCAATATCACATGTGTGAGATTTTTCGACAGCTTGGCCCACATAAAGAGACCCAACATCCAAGTAGAACCTTCATGCATTCTAGGAGCATAAAAAGGGGCATAAATTACACATCTAATTTCCTGACTACCTATCACAGTTTTGAAGGCCCTGGAGCACCAGGACGGTGGAAACACCCACAAAATGACCCCATTTTGGAAAGCAAACATCCCAGGGTATATTGTATCAGGCATGAGTCTTTTGAACATGTTATTTTTTCAAAAAGGTTTTAGAAAATGTGGAAAGAAAAATGAAAACCTTTTTTTTTTCACACATAGTTGTCAATTTATAAGATATTTCTAACACACAGCATGTACATACCAAGAATTATGCCCCAAAATGTATTCTGCTACTCCTTCTGAGTATGGCGATACCACATGTGTGAGACCCAACATCCAAGTAGCGCCTTCATGCATTCTAGGAGCATAAAAAGGGCATAAAGTACACATCTAATTTCCTGACTACCTATCAGTTTTGAAGGCACCAGGACAATGGAAAAACAAACAAAATTACCACATTTTGGAAAGAAAACACTCCCAAAATATATTATTTGAGGCTTAATGAGTCTTTTGAACATGTCATGTTTTTCCACAAGTTTTTAGAAAATGTGGAAAGAAAATGAAAAAGTATTTTTTTCACAGAACGTTGTCAATTTATAGGATATTTCTTCTATACTCAAATACATTTTGCTACTCCTCCTGAACATGACAATACCACATGTGAGACTTTTTCACAGCATAGCTAAAGAAAGGATAAGCAAAAGATTACCTGTGGTTTTAGGAGAGCATTGGACCAGGAAGCAGGCAACAGCCACAGGATTCACCCAGGCAGCAGGCAGGAATATGGTGGATAAACAAGCCAGGGTCAAAACAGGCAGCAGGCTGAGATTCAGGCAGAAGGAAGAAACATGGTCCATAAAAAATCCTGGGTCAGTACAGGGAGCAGGCAGTGATATGGTCAGCACAGCCAAAGTATTGGTCAAGGCAGCAGGCAGGAACATGGTCTGAAAAAGTCTTGGGTCAGTACAGGTAGCAAAAGGAGATATGGTCAGCACAGTCAAAGTATTGTCTAGTCAACAGGCAAGAACATGGTCCATAAAAATTCCTAGGTCAGTACAGGCAGCAATCAGAGATATGATTAGCACAGCCAAAGTATTGGTCTAAGCAGCAGGCAGGAACCTGGTCCGAAAAAGTCTTGGGTCAGTACAGGTAGCAAGAAGAGATATGATCAGCACAGCCAAAGTATTGGTCCAGGCAAAAGGCAAGAACATGGTCCATAAAAAGTCCTGGGTCAATGCAGGCAGAGATATGATCATCACAAAGTATTGGTCCAAGCAGCAGGCAGGAATATCAAGCTTAGAGCCTTAGTCAGGTAGGACCGGGGCACAGGGGCAGAGGCTTCGTCCCACCCAATCTCTTCGAAGCCTCCGGACAAACAGACCTGTTCCGGGAATTACAAAACCTGGAGAAAACCAAAAACAGTTTTTTCTCTATTCTGAAGCCACTCACATATGTGAGACCCCTGTTTTATCTTGAATCCCACTACTGCAGTAGCAGGTTAAAAATACCAATCCAAGCAGCAGGCAAAAAACATTGTCGATTTAACAGGCCGAGGTCAGTCCAGGAAGAAGGCATAAACGTGGTTGATAATCCAGACGGTAGGCAGAAGCATAGTCAATAAACAGGCCATGGTCAGTTCCGGTGAAAGGCAGAAATGTGGTTTAGAAGTCATTCAGACGGCAAGCAAAGGCATTATCGGTAAACAGGCCAGGGTCAGTTAAGGTGGAAGGTAGAGGCATGGTCAATCAAGGCAGCAGGCAAAAGATCAGCACAGATAATAAAAATGGGGAAATTGCAGGCTGATAAAAATATGGGAAACTAATATCTTACTAAAGTGTGATAACATCTTAAGCAGTCTCCGATGCATAGCCCTGGTTTGGAGGGACATTGGGGACAATGAAAACTAGTGCCTCTCCTAACTCCCCCTCTGTTGAATACCTTACATTTTTGTCAGCATCTTCTTCCTGTTTCTGATGGTGGAATACTCTCAGGGAAATGGCGTTCATGAAGTCTGCTGAAAATATATTGCAACTTTTATGTACCAGTAGAGACACTTCCTTGTTGATAAATATGGCTGCAGCATCTGATCGTTTAAATCCACCCCCCCCCCCCATGAATTTATTATAATTGTGGATACACTCTGGATTTTGTATGGGACCTTGTCTTCTATGAATTTCCACCATGATGTCATTATGGATAGTGGACAGGGCATAAACATCTCTCCTATCCCTCTACTTCACGGCCAGCACGTCCTCGTTCCTCAGACTTGCAGATTCTCCTCTTTGTAGAATTGTGTTCACTAAATTTTGTGGGAAGCCCTTCCTGTTTGTTCGGGTGGTACCGCAGGCCATCGTTTTCTCAAGGTACAGGTGGCGGAAAAGGGGCAGGCTTGTGTAATAATTGTCTAGGTAGATGTGATACCCCTTTTGGAAAAGTGGAAAGGCCATGTCCCAGACAATTTTTCCACTTGTGCCAATGTAGGTTGGGCACCCAGGGGGCTGGAGCTGGGAGTCTTTGCCTTCATACACGCAAAAGGCATGCACATATCCTGTGGCACTTTCACACAGCTTGTTGAGCTTCAGTCCATACCTGGCCCTTTTACTGGGAATATATTGCTTGAATCCCAGCCGGCT